CTGTGAAGTTTTGGGCAGAACTGGAATTTTGCAGGAATGTTTCTGTGACGCCATTTTATAATGAGGAAGTGAAAGAGATCAAACAGATTGCAGAAAAATTCTGCTCCCTTGTCCTCCAGAGTCAGGTCTCTCACAGAGCAAATGCCACCAGACTTTGTCAAGTGAGGATCACTGCCCAAAGTTTAGCTTGTGGCATTCCTTGATGTAGTTTGGTATTAGGTTCCACTAATTTTTGAAATATAGAAGTCCCCTTCATTTTGTGGAATTTGATGCCATTCAGCCCTGGTTATGCCTTACTGGTTGCAAAATTGAAACTCTCATTGAGTTAATTAGGAGCAAAAGCTAACATCTCAACTTGCAAACAAAAGAAATAGCCCTCCAAAACCTCAATTCTCAATCAAATCAAACAAATCCAACACCAAAAATGAGACAACTAAAACCAGCAGCAAGATTTTCATCTTAGCAGCCTCACGTTTTCTTTCCAGAAAACTTTTGCTTTTTGCACAAATTAATTCTAAGAATAATTTATAATGGCTACCACAGCTCTGTTATAGACTGACTACATAACACGAGAGACACTTTAAACATTTCACAATAATATCACTACAGCTCAAAAGCACCCAACCCTTTTTTTTTTTTTAATGCACACTATTTCCTCTCCCACAGAAACAAGTTTCTATTTCCCTTAAGCGCCTCTTTTGCTAAAGAGATGGATTATCAGTAGTTGATTTCTTTAGGTCACATAAAAGGCAACCGCGTTTCAAAGAAATCACTTGTTTTCATAGCTAAGCTAATGCTCAGTTAAGGGATGGGCAAAGGGATGTTCTGCAGTGGGGCAGCAGCAATTCTGGCTCCAGCACAGCACAGATGGGGCCAGATTAACTCCAGAAAAATTTATGGTCAACAGTAAGAGCACAGAGAATCTGAAAATTGACCACAGTTGGAAGAAAACGTCTTGCCTACGCCAAAATGAAACATTCAGAAACAAAACAGGACTGAAATGGAGAATGAACGAGAATAAGGCCAGACAAGAGTGACCAAAGAGAAACAAAAAAAGCAGAAGTCAGAAGGAGAAGCTTGAAATAGTTTTGACCAGCAAATGGGACTTGGAGTTCACAGAACTTTCTGTCCCTTTCATTTTAACTAAACTTGTCCAGTGCTGTAACCTTGGAAATTTTCTCACATTTTTCTCTTGCACTCTACCAAGTGATCACCAGAAAGACTARAAAACAGGTTGCACATCAGAAAATATTAGCAAGCATCTTCTGTGCACATCAAATTGGATTAATTACTCCTCACAAACCTACAAGAGACCTGGAAAAGGGTAGAAACCAGCTGGTGACAGCTTTGCTGCAAAAAGTGTTCTTCTGTCCTTTTACTGGACAGAGTCAAATGAGGCAGTGCCAAGCTTAGGACAAAGAGGGTTTTGTTTCAAATAATGAGATTATTCTAAACAGGCCTAAAAGTGAAAAACTTAAAAGATCCTTTTTGTGATTTACTTTCATAAATGAGAAAGTTAATAGTAGTAATCTTTACTAAACAAGAAAGTATTTCAAGCAGCAATTTGCCATCATGCWCTGCATGAAATAGAGAAAAGTATTATAGAGGTAGATTAAGGATGTGGGAGATGAAAAAGACAGGTCTGATACCAAGCATCTCATGATGAAACTGAAAGAAACCCAGAAAATTAGGAGGGAAGAAATTACATGAAAAGCTTTCTGCTGGGCCAGGAGGTAACTACTCCTCATGGTATCGTGTTAAATCCCACCAGACATTTCTGTCTACAGGGAACAARGATAGTGATCCTGAATATGGATAATGCATATGGGTTTGAAGCATTGTATTTTTATGGTTAATTTGAAAATAAGCAACACTTTCGACACCACAAATGTCAAGTCAGAGTATTCAGGACAACAGAATCATTCCAGCTGTAGGGAACTGAAAACTAAYCCATGTGTGCAACCTGGTTCAATTCTTTCATGAAGCAGAACCCCTTACAGCAACCAAAGYTGTCATCACCAAAATGTTTTTAACTTAGGAAATTCCATGCAGGTGTCTCCCTGGTTTTCTGTGGTCTGCAGAAGCAGAATGTTGCTTAAACAATGAAAGAAATTATCGTGAATCTCACGGTTCCTCTTTTCCCTCTCACTTCAGTTGTGCACATACCGAAGTCTTGGACACAGTTTTTCTCATTCTTGAAATCAGGACACTGATTTCACTGGGCTCAACAACTAAAACCTTAGACATGAGTAGACACTCTTTCTCTTTGCAGAGAAAGAGTGAATCAGTGAAATATTCCATTGAGAAAAAAAAAGGATGCCCTGAAGATCAGAGTTACTCAGAGGAAGAAAGAATTTGTCCACAGTGGAAGAAAAAAGTGATTAATAATCATAGTCCCATGTTGATTTGTCTACTACTGGGTGCAGTGGGCTTTAGTTTTGGAGAGTTTGAACAGTGTTTACAGGATGATGGGAGGAAATGGGTACTTTACGTTKTCTTTACACTTCCTATGACCTTAGGTTAGAAGTTTACATGCCAAACATCTTCCTAGGGCCCCACTGTTCATCATTTCTCCAAATCAGGYGCTCACAGCTCCCCATTGTCTTTCTACCTTGCCAGTCTCACATGGAATTTACACAAGATAACAAACAGTCCTGGCTCAGGGGGAAGCAGAGAAGCAGCACTGATTTTTGTTTTGCACAGGGATTGGGGTTTAGTGGTTTGGAATACTGGACAAAACTCTCCATTACGTTAACAGCACTGTTAATTTAGGATATATGAACAGCAGAACATAACATCAGCTAATGCCAGGTGGTCTSTTTGGCAGCCAAAACATCTTCAACCTTTACAGCATGATATTCCACATATTCCTACTTCACTTTTGACTCCCTTCCAGTCCAGCAGCACTAGGATCCTAAAAGCAAAAGTTACCACCTCCCCTGGAGTCCTGAGGTATGGTATCTCTACAGCACAAGTTACCTGCAAATTATCCCATACTAACACAACTGAACTCCACCAAATAAAGTACCTGGAAAGCCATTCAAATATTGTGTGACCTGGGGAGCCATTCAAATGTTGTGTGACCTGGAAAGCAATTCAAATGCTGTGTGATAGCAGCATTATCCTGATGTAAATGACAAGAACACTATTATTTCTTTACTCAAGARAATATTTATTGCAAGAAGGTGAAGTGGAAGGTCCACTCAGTAGCAGGAGAGAATTCCTTTCCAGAGGAAATAATGACTCAACACCCATTGTGTGCATCGATGTGTTTAACAAATCCAAAAGACAGTAATTTCATTTTAAATGGGGAAAAGACATTCCTCACCTTGTAAAGGAGCTGTCAACAGCCCTGCACTGATAATAGGGACAAACAAGCAAACCATCCCATTCTTGGAGGAATCAGCTCTATCCCTCAAACTCCAGAACTTCACTGGTAGCTTATTGTACCTACAAGCTGGTGTAAGTTCAAGACATTGACCCACTTTCAGCCYGAGGCTGCAAAGTTCAGAGAGATGAGATAGGAAATGATTTTTCCCTGGGTCTTTTACATTTTTATTGCCCTACTCTGAGAAGGGTTTGGATGCAGCAACTCTCTGACCTTCCCAGCAATGGGACCTCSCACCGAGGACAGCTCCGAACTGAGGGAATCCCATGAGACACCGAGGGGGCAGAATGTCAAAACCCAGCACGAGAGATACGAAAACAAATACGGCACCGATACCACCTCTCCCTTCCTTTTTTGTCTTGTTCAGGGGGGCAGGAGCAGTCAGTAAATACCTCTACTACTGCTCAAAGGTCAGTGTTGACCTGATAGCGTGGAGATAAATATTTCCTGCAGACACATTTGTGTCACTGCTGGCACCCAGGGGAGCGGCAGCCTGCTGTGGTTAAAACCAYCCCGATGCTGACGGTCTGTCCTTGTCTGCAGGCAGCTCTGGGCTCCCAGTCCTGCACAGAAYAGTTCCCCAGGAAACTGGGGATGTGTCAGCAGCTGTCACCATCATGGGCAGCCCTGCGTACACCACTCATGAGCTTATAGGCAATCAAAGTTTCGTGTGTTACTAGTAAAACAAAATTGTTGAAATATCACAGAAAAACCCCCAAAAAACCAAGCAAACAAGCAGAAATTGGGATGCTCAGGAGCCAGGTTAATTATTTCAACATCTAAATCACCATCCAGCTAAACAGAGTTACGCTTAATCTTCATCTTGCTTTATATCCCAGGTTTGTTCTTTGCAGTAGAACTTGTGTGTACAAACAACACCCACCTCCCCCAAATCAGTTGTAATATTCACATTTGTTTACAACTCTAACCTAATCAATATTTAAAGATTCCAAGTCACATAAAATTAGGGAGGTATTCCTGAAATATGGCATTATGCTTCCAAATAACATGACTTGGAAAATTAAACCAAATTAAAGAAGTTCTTGCTGCTTCAAAACCCCTTCCTGAGAAAACCCCTTCTAAATATTTTCACAGCAAGTGTCTAAACAAAGCAGGTGCCTGATGTTATATTCTAGTTTGAAGAGCAACTGGGGACTTGCAAATAATCTGTTGCATTTAGAAGTTTAATATTGGGGTGTCTCAAAGTGCCTTATCCATGTATTCTGCTGAGCCCACCTAACCAGTTGAAGAGTATGAAGTCACAGGACACAGGCATGCAACAAGTGAATTCTGTCAAGAAAAAACTACAGGATTTGCAGGTCTTTTGATCAAATCAAAAAATACTTCTGATTTGCGGGTACCAATCAGAAAGGGACAAGAATTCAAAGTTCTAGAGAGGATTTTTTTTTCTTTTTTTTTTTTTGTAACAGACATAAACAGCCACACATAACAACCCCGAAGCAACTCAGCCTCATCTGGTTTAACCTCAACCACGAGACACCGCTGTCTGTTTTCTTTCTGAAAAAGACTCACGTCACTGCGCACTGAAAAAGGGAAGTTCCCGGGTTTGTGATGAAGAGACACGATAAACAGCCCCGTTCACACCASCAGCAGCGTCAATAAAAGGCGGCGGCAGAGGCCGGGAGCTGTCACTTGGGGCTTGGAGGATTATCGTGGCGAAAGGCGCTTCACGTTCAACCTGAAAATGCCAGGATTCTTTTTCTCCCACARCAACATGAGTGAATTAAGTGGAAAAGAAGATTGCAAGCTGGCAGAAGGCAAGGGCCATAAAAAGAAGCAGAAGGCTTTGTAAGTATATACAACTTGGCAGAAAATTTCATGTATTAAAGATGCAAATAACACCCCACTAATCTTGGGGATTAAGGATTAGCCTTGTGTTTAAGCCTAAATGACTCTAAAACCTGCTCAAAGCCCAGGACTGCAACAATCATTAAAAAATCTTGACTGAGGAATACCATTTAATTGACTGCTTTAAGTAATCAGAAGTAGAATTTGGATACAGTGGGGGCCTCAGTCTTTAAAAAAATTTACTTGGATATGTAAATTCCCAGAGTTCAGTCATAGGATGGTGCTTTCCGTCTCTGTTTGAAAGTTTGAAGATTATTTAAGTGGAATTTAAATGCAACCACARCTTTAATGGGTTACGAAAATGTCTGTTCATTGTTTCAGTGGTGCAGATCTCAAAAATTATTTGAAGTGCATGGTACCACATATTGAATCTGGGATCAAGACTTCCAACTCTAGAAAMGACATGTAAGTATTGAAAGATACAAATTATAAAATATAATTATAGCTAGATCATGTATAGTAAACCATACTTCACGTCAAAACTACTTGTAGGACAAAAAATATTGTAAAAAGATCTAGAATTTCCAAAATGCAAGAGAGRTGAGCATTAATTAGAAACAGTAATTCGAAAATGTTCATGAAGTTAAGGATTTTTAATTAGTGATTTGATAAATTTGCTTCAACGAGGGAGAAGAAACTTCAGTTAAATCCCTTTTTGCCAGAAGGACATTGTATCTGTTCTCTAAAATTTTACAAGAAACAATGCTTCACACCTCAGTGAGGAGCAGGGCTACCACCATTCCTATTGCAAAAATATGAAAACAGAAATACAGGTACAAAATAATTTTATTGTAGTTACAGTACAAGATTATTTTCCTAGGAACAGAATTCAAGATAACATCACAGTCCCATATTTTTCCATCTCTGATTATYTTTCTCCACATGGGCTATCTCCAGGGTCTCAGATACAAAGCCATAAATTTAGTAAATACCTGTCATATGCTCCTGGAATATAATAATAAATTTTAAAATTTGTCTCCTTCAGATACACAAACCAAACCCTATGCTTTCTTGCCTAAAGTCTTGTCTTTTTCTTGCCCCCTCAGGCTTTCTGYGGAGGAAGTTATTCAGTGGTCACAATCTTTGGAAAAGCTCTTGGCCAGCCAAAGTAAGTCTGTWACTTCAGAATGACTTTGTTTTGACTCTGAGGATAAAATTTTATCTAATATCACCAAGTAGGCAAAGTGGCAGCATGGTATAAACACTGTCAGACAATGGGCAACTGCTCTTCAGTTTTTTACAGCTCTAGTGTAGCATGGACACCGCTACAACTTGGCTTCCAAGCTGGGTTTTATTTTCCTTTGCCCATTTTCGGTTTAGCAAATAACCCCCAAATAGCTGATTTTGATCAGTCTTCGTTCCCTGAATAATACATCAGTTTAATTTGGAATTTTCTCTCTATTTCTGGACCCTAAGACAGTCAGTCCATTTAGGAAGGACTGGAATCCTTTGCTGTAATTTGGCACCAAGGGTTTGGATCTAAGAACACTAAACCCAATTMGGAAGACTCACATCAGCCTCAACATTAGAATATTTTTAGGATGTCAAAGAAGGGAAAAACAGTGTATTTTGGCAAGATTTTATATCAGATTTCAATACACCTCTGGCTATCTATTTCACTGTTTCTGATCACAACCATCACACAATAAATGATGATATATTTGTGSTGCCTTTAGGTGGTCAAGGTGTCTTTCGGGAGTTCCTGAAGTCAGAATTCAGCGAGGAAAACATCGAGTTCTGGTTGGCCTGTGAGGATTACAAGAAAACCAAGTCTGACCACCTGCATGGCAAAGCAGAGAGGATTTATGAGGAGTTTGTTCAGTCAGATGCCATCAAGCAGGTATGTCCAAAGCCACTCTGTGCAGAGACAGCAGGGAGGGGTGTGGCTTTCCTGAGMTGCTCACACTCTCCCTCAGTTGCATAAGAGGAAGACACAGCCACGCTTTCAGGCCCCTTCTTGCATCACYGCTGTCTGCAGTGACATTATCAGACCTCACAGACAGTCACAGGATGCAGACTGATCCCTGGGAGAGCCACCAGCAGGGCTCARCAAAGGCCTCAGCAGCTCAGCACATGATGCTGCTCGCTGACTCAGCCCAGTTTGAATCACTGATGGTGTTTGGAGAGCCTGTGTTTGTGAGTGGAAGCACCACACAACACTGCTTGTCTTYTAAAACAGCAGGACCTTCTGGAAAATTAAAAGTTCTGTATGTTGATCATATTTAAACTGGAGACATGCAGCACAACTTCAGTTAACAGGAGGTTGTTCCTCAAGTAGTTTGTTGTTGCAGTGTATTAATTCTGACCCCAGCACAAACCACATTTGTATAGTGAAGAGCAATTTTAGTGCCTAACTGGGATATTGGTATTTGATTTTCCCCATTTTGCAGCTCTGATATTGTACTGCCACAGATTGCAGGGCTGCAAATCCATGCACTGACAAAGTGACAGATACAGTGACAGATAGGAAGAGACAATTTTTCTAAGTTTCCAATGGCATTTATCTTCTCCTTTCCAGATCAATATTGATTATCAGATGAGGGAAGCAACAGCCAAAAAAGCTCAAGACCCAACTCACACGAGTTTTGATGAAGCCCAGAAAACGGTGTACATCCTTATGGAAAGGGATTCGTACCCCAGATTTTTAAAATCCAAATCCTACCTGAACCTTTTGAACCAGCTGCAAAGCAACCCTTCCAAATAAAGTGTTGGAAGAGCCAAGGAGACTCTGTGACAAATATCCTGCAAAGAGATCCGCCACGGTGRCTGGATCTTGCCAAGGAAAATCCCAGCCTTGGGAGGAGGAGTGGAAAGAGCTCCACAGCCACGAGAATGAGGGATAAAAGCTGGTGAGGATGCCACAAGGGCAGAAGCAGCACAGGAGAAAACCCCTTCCTCCCACACCCATGGAGCCAAGGCAGGATATGAAAATTGTAGTTGAAGCTGCMCTGGGAGCAGTGAACTATGCCTCAGGTCCCAAGGAACTGTTGATTTTGTCAGGAASTGCAAGACTTGCAAGCTGAACAATGGGAAAAGATCATCAAGTCCAGAAGGAAAAGTAGGATGACTGACAATTTTGGGCATCACAAGAAAATGCCAAGAAAAGACTGACATCTCTCTTAAAAATCTGTGTTAATGAGTGTGAGTGTGAGCTCCACGATGCTGTTGTGCTATGTAAATACATTCTAAATTGACATGTCTTAAAATTGRTATGTTTTAAATTATGTGAGATCGATATAAGCTGTATTTTTATTAAGTTTGTATTCAACAGGCAGGTATGTAGCATCTTTGCTGTTTAATTTATTGAAAAATAATAACAAACTCTTCATTGAGATATAAATAAAATAAACTTTCATAGTGATTTTGCCTCTTATTTGAAGTGATTTTTCCATTGCAAATTAGTGAAATATTGAATACACARTTCCCTTCAGTCTCACTGTGTTACTGCTTCTGATCTCCACATTCTAATACTAATTTCACCACTAGAGAAATTCTTTTTGTCCATTTTTCACAACCTAAGTTTTCACCTGGAGTGGGTGACACTGATTTGCACAGACCCATCCTTACGACCCCCAAAACAGAAAATAAATAAATAACGAGGAGCAGAGGAAAYAAGGTTTCCTTGTATTTTTCATTCTGCCCCAGCTACCAGCACCCAATCAAATCTCAAATATAGGAAATATGGAGCAAATGACCCCATAGTTCAATCCCCTTTGACACTGAAGCTGTGTGAAGCACATGGATCACCCGTGTTTGCTGATTTAGAGAGGCACAAACTCTTTCATTTCACATTTCAGCAGCAACATTTCACTGCAAATGTTGCACTGAATGTGCTTTAAAATGTTTTGAGTAGTCTAAATCACCGTGAGTAATGATGAGAACTAAAGTAAAAAAAGAAGTGATTATGCTTGGAATATGAATTTGTTACCATGAACAACAGCGCTCCCCCAACTCAAGGGTTGGAGACCTTGTGACATTAGAGCTTGTAATGAAAATAAATCAAAGAATGCCTTGGTCTTAATGAGTTCCCATCATGAGACACTGATATCACATGGGTGGCAATACAAGATTTTATCTCAGCATTGCAAATTTTCCATTTTTTCCACAATAACATGAGCTTTCTGAGCCCCACTCTGCTCTCTRCCGAAGGGAGAAGCTATAAATTCAGAGACATCACCTCTTGGCGAGAGCAGACYGTGCTCTTACTGCCACCCTTTGGGGACTTTGGGACCTCCAGGGAAGGACAAAATCTGTGTTGGGAGCAAAACCACTGCAAATCCCATCTYCCTTTCAAGGCTAACAAATACAGAAGAAAAGACCCTGGTCTGTGGTGTTATTAAGTATATGCTCCTGAAAGAGTCTGACTGCAAAACCTGAATGTTCCTGGTACAATATAAACCAGTTTACAGCTGAYATTCTTACACGAATTAATTTTCCAGGATCATTAGGAATAAAACTAATTGRAGTAGGAATAACAACTGTGCCTCCCACACAAGGTGCATCACCATGTTTGCTCTGACACAGTTAACACRGACCCAATGCCTCTGTCTGCATGACTTGGAGCTCACAGAAGATAAAGGAGAGCTATGAAATATCAGAAATATCTACCCCCTAAACAGACACTGCCTTCAAGCAACATTATTCTTTTGACTGTAAATCCCTCAAATTAGTATGGCCCCAATCTTCATTTCCTCACCCTGCAGTTTCACAATTTTTCTATGATTTGGCCAAACACCCACATGAAATTTCTGACAAAAGTCATATTTCATAGCATAGATAATAAAGATTTTTATTTCTTTTTGAATGGCTTGTTGCTAGCGGAGAATACTGTCGGAACAATTTCATCAACCTGTATTACACAGTCAGGATAGACCAGAGTATCTGAGGAGAGTAGAAGGGACTTCTAACTTTTTTTCCACAAGCTCCTACCTACTTGGTACAGCAAGAGAGCAGAAAGGTTTCTTTTCTTCTACAAAAGTAAACTATTCCACTCTATACAACCCAACAATTTTTTGTTAGCTATTTTTAAGCTTCTCATCTTCTTTGCAGTACAAACCTGATATCAGCTGCAAAGCTCAATTGCCCAGATTGTTAATTCCAAAGATATTCCAGCCCACTCCAGCAGCCCTGACAACAGGACCGCATTTCACCAAGCAAATAACAGCACAGCAGAAATCCAGGCCTGGCTCTGGGGTGCTGGGAGCCCACTATTATAAATCTGTTGCTATGGCAGGACTTGAGAAAACTGATTGTTTAATCAAGGTCTGAGGGATCTGAATGACTCAGAACACACAGACCAAGGGACTCAGTGCTTTCTGCCACCCTTGGGTCATGGGCAGGGTGGGTGCACTCATCTCCCTCTGTTCACACACAGGARCAGCCTCAGGGTCACACTTTGGTTTCACAGCTGTGGGCTGGGCCTTTTTTTAAACTAGATTTCACTTTCCTTCTTTGGAAAAAATATAGCAAGAGAGAATGGAAATTTGCTTTTCCATTCAGTGGCTCTGAAAGCAACAGTTGAATCAGGTTGGCCACCAGCTACAGAAGAGCACAGGAAAACAGGATGCAGTGCATGGAAAAGCTTTAAGATTTGACAGCAGTGACTCAAACTTTTCATTAAAAGCTCTACCTTACCCCTGAAGGAAACACTTTCATTGTTTGTCAGTGTTCCAGTGGAAAATCAATCACTGTACCATCTTCAGGTACACACTTTGAAGTGATTTAACCTCTCTCTGCAGCAGTTTTCTCTAGGGAAGGMCTCAAGAATCCAGCAGCCCCTGAATGTGTATTTAGAAGATTAGCTTTGATCTCTCCAATTCAGAAAAATTAATTCCTTGCAACAGGTATTTTTAATATTATCCTAAATAAAAATATGGTATAACATAATATCACCCTCTCCCATATGTTGTACCCGTGGAAACATTCTGTCATTATGAACAATGAAACAGGAAGGAAACTAAAGCTGAGATAGTGATGAGTKCACACAAATTCATCACCTTGGGTTCCTCAGTGCCACCCCATCCCTGCCCACACTCTGAAGTAACAAGTTTTCCAGATGGCACCTTCCTTATGGTTGTGAAATGAGTTTGAAAAGAAAAAATAGATAGTAGAAGGCGGAAAAATTAGATGTTCTCATCTTCCATTCACAGACATGAGTTGGTTGTATCAGAATGTGTAATGTCTACAGATGAAGCTYTCTGAAATGACATCTTTAGTCATGAAGCAGAGGCAGCAATTGAAAAACAAGTTCTTGCTTAATATTCATTGGATGATTTAAATTTGTGTTGGATGCTCAGAAAGAACCTYAAGTCCCCTCTGACTTTTATCTCCTGGCTTTGTTTGGATAGACAAAGCCTCAAAAGGCTTTAGTCACTAAAGGGGGATTTACACACATCAATCAAGARCCAATGTCCCTGTTTTGGAAATGAACTCTTTCCTCCCGATTTCTCAAAACATCCCCAAAAAGTACCCTCTTGAAAGACCCCAGAGATGATCAACATTTACTTTCTACTGAGCATTTTCCTTCAATTTCTTCAAATAGCCTAAGCACTTAAGCAGTTCGGTGACCTGCTATCACATGGCCCCTTTCACTAATGATATTAAAAATAGCTTGAGGAGAGCGTGAGATGCAGAAATGTAAACCTTTCAGGACCACTGAGAGAAGCAGAGCAGATTAGCAATGCTTCTCTTCAAAGTRACACAGCCAAAACACTGAAGTGGCAGCACAGCTGTCTGCAAACATYGCTGGAGTCACAAGGGGTTTGGGGCTTTTTAAAGTCATTGTGGTCAGAAGGTTTCTGCTACTAGAGGGCAAACTTTAAAAATAAAACAAGATAAACACTGTCTGCATAATACTAATAACTCAGTAACCCATGATTTCYGTACTACCTATGGAAAAAGTCTGCAAGGTGTTTACTGAAGCAAATGGTTTGTCAACCGTGAAAATCAAGAAGGCAGCTTCAGATACGGAGAAGAGACTCAATATCAAACAGAACTGGACCAGCCATGAGCTGGGCAATGTGCTTGCTGTTCATGCCAGTCTGAGGAAACTGTGACCACACTCTGCTCAAAGCCCTAAATCCAGCCAGGAGCTCTCCAGGYGCTGGAACAAACGTATGGAGGAAAGGGAGGCCCTGGACTAACGCAGCCAAATATCCTGACTTGGACCAYGCTGTAATCAATAATTTGACATTAAACTACATCAAGATGAAGAACTGGCACCTTCCAAAGGATTACACATCTGCAGGGGGGGGGGGTGAAAAGCCTTGCTCACCTCGAGCTTTGGTGGAAGTGTGAATGCAGAGTCTCACAGAGAGCCCAGGACACACGCAGTGCTTCGTGCTCAAACCACAGCACTCCCCTCCGGGAAGCCTGGCTGGACGGGTGGGATGAAAGTTCCCATAAAAACCAACCCAAACTTCTCATGGCGTGATTTCCTCTCCTGCTGAGAGGCTGAAGAGCACCAGGCTCACCCAATGACTTCGCAGCTTTTAGGAATAAAAAGGGAACAGAAAGGCCGGGGACTACAGCTGAGGTCAGGTTTCCAGAAATGCTATCTCGACTTCAGCCCATTCCCACCCAGCAGGACAGTGGTTAGCAGAGTTTGCAGAAATGGGTCATGAAGTGAGGTTTGTCCAGCCTTAGTGATAAAACCTAAAGCCATGGATGTAGAAAGGAGAGGCTATTAGCAGCCCATGCTGTCATCTACCCAGAAACAAAAACTACTTCACCATCTCTGCATCTGCAGACAATTTATCTGGTCTGACCTGTGAACACTGTTCCCCACATCCCTGTGAGCAGAACTTCGTCKCACACTGAACCTAAATTTTTTATATTTTATTTTCAAACATATATCATGAAAGTTCCCAACAGAATTTGTCAAAGCCACCAAGTAAGATGCAATTAGAGAAAGAGAACCCTTCTCTRGAAACACCTATGGCTGTACAAGTGAGAAGAACATGGATCCCTTATTTCTGCACTAAACCCACTCAAACAGCAATGAGAATGAGTAGCAGCCACATCAGAGTACCCAGTTTGTGTTCTCCTCAAGGTTAACGAGGGCCTCTTGACRTTTGACCACTTTCCCTGTGTTTGGACCGGGATCTCCAGGCACATCCTCAGTGCTCCTATTTCAGATGACCTTGTAGGACATTGTCGGAACATGAATCCCAGGAAGCAGCGTTCCTCCATTCCCAAATTCCAGGGAAGGAAGGGTGGCAATGTGCAGGCAGGGCAGCACACGTGGGCAGATRGAAAGAGTGGGTACAACACAGAGGAGACAGCACTTCCACAATCACTGGCATGGAACAGACTTAGGTGGGCGAGGTGTTTATTGAGCATAACAGCAGCAAAACAGAAATGCAATTAGGAAATAATTAATACAAGGGTGGGAGGGGAAAAAACCCCAAGAGAACGTGGCTAAATTAAGGAAGGTGTTACTAAGTGGGTGAGTGCAGGAAAGCACAAAAGGGAGTCTGAGCAAGAACTCATCTGGGAGAATTATCCTCAGTGTTATGAGAAAATTACTGCAATCAAGATGGTCAGCATTGTCTGAATTAGCTGGCAAGTAGGGTTAATCCTAGAAAAGGGTTAATCCTAGGAAAAGAACAGGTCTGGCAGTTGACATTCAGTATCCCCGGTACAATACAGCAATTTTCTCAGCTTTGCTATTTTCCATTTCCCTTATTTTCTCCCTGAAAAGCACATCCAGCTCAGCCACTGAATAAACCAAGCAATAATTGATTCCTGTGTGCACATCCCTCCATCATCCCCGAGCTGTTCCGTGCCCCACAGCTGGCACAAGGGATCCCAAGGGTCTCAGTGTCTCACAGGAGTCCCCAGCCTACAGGAGACCCTTTTTTAAAGGAACACTGCAGGGAATGTCCCCAGCCAGAGCCATCGCCACCCTCCCGGGCCACCCTGAGCTGATGAACGCGACAGCTCAGCCCGCTCCTTGAGGTGACACCCGGTGACATCTAGTGGAATTTGTATGAAATAAGAGGGAGGGTTTCATTTAGGGTAAATCACCATTTTACAGCACACCTGGGTAACGATTAAACTATCCACTCTTAGGGGTTTTAAACATTTTGGAAAGGGGAGTAAATGGTTCACTTCTGAGTATCAAACTATGAGTGATGGTTGCAGAAAGAGTTGATGCAGAGAAACAAATTGTAAAATCATATTGGCAATCCATTAAATTTCAAATTTTTCTTCAGAGCATCWTCAAGGATACAACAGCACATGGAATTAGCAACAAATCCTTCACCTAAATATCATCCACTATACAAGGCAAGAGAGGTTTGCTGAAATATTTTATTCGGTTTAACAATAAAAGCAAACTTAGGGGCAAAACCCCATAGCAAGTTTCTTTCAATTTTAAGCCATATTACAGCATTTTTAATGTCTGTAATATGGAAAAGAAAATAATTGAACAAAGTCATGGTTTGCTGACTCTCAGTCACTGTGTAATTTAAATTTACAAAGGTAAAATTATGGTCCCTGGACATCAYTGATAGAAAACAAAAATTAAATAGTTCATTATCATTAATTTTAATAATGAAATTTTAGATTAGTTTTCCTTTAATGACAGTAAAARTTATTGCAAACGAATAGACAAACTTTTGCAAAAGAACGTGCATAAGCACATTAAAGATTTTACAAAATRCACGTAGAACAAATAGCTAAATACTGATACAAATCACTAGAGGGATACACAACTGAGATTCTCATCCTATAACTTTTCCAGAGTCAGTTATTATTATGATACCTTTTTTCTATTTTAATTTTAAGTAATTCTACAAATTAGATTATTTATAGACATTTTTCAGCTTGTTCTGGCCCTCAGATGCATYAGTATGTAACTGTCTGTACAGGAAACATTAAAAGTAAGGGGAGRGATGAGAGAAACTTGAAACATCTGATTATTATGATGATTTCAATAATTAACTCAAATTACATCGCACAGATATTTGCCCCTGACCATTCCATTATAGAAATGGAACAAAAATTCCAAAATCCCACGTAATGTTACAATGAATATGGAGTGAGATTTAATGAAATAGCAATCAATAAAAAGAGATCACAGAGATATTTGCCCTTCCCCAGGCACAGGGCAGCTCTCAGGTGTGCTGCTGAGACTCAGACACCGGGTTTTGCTCATAGGAAGCACTGCACACACATTTCCTCCCCAGCAGGACCTTTTTGTGGGAAAAGGGATGCACACCTCACACACAGAGCCTGTGCACCAGTAGGGTGAGCTGCAAGAAAATAAATGGGTGTGCTGTGGTGTTGTAGGCTCGAATCTCAATTTAAGTTCCAATCCTACACAGCTCATGCTTTGCCTGTGAGATGAAAAGGAGATGAGACAGAGCAGAGAGATGAAATTGAGAGAAATATCACAGCACACAGCTGGGCAGCCAGAGGCATGACCTACCTTGCCCTCCCAGCAGGCCATGGCAAACTCTCAGAGATCACAAATCACAATTACCCCAGAAAGGACAGAAAAACACCTTCCTGCAGCTAATTTGCAGCAAGGAGCTGAGCTATTGCTTGCTCAAAGCCCCAGTGTCAAATGAGTGTGCCACTGACACAAACAGCAGCTCCATTGCTGCTGCACAGCTCCTTTYAAAGCCCTGGCTAGAGGAGAGCAGGCAGAACAGAGAAACTGAGGCTCAGCCTAACATGGGGCCATAATCTGGGCAGGAGCTGTGAGAAAAATTGTAGAAGACCTCAAACAAGTCTAAAGAGAGTTCTGGTCCAATATTCCTCAGATRCTGTGCCAGAGCAGGTTGGCCAGGTAGGAACACATAAAAGTTTTTCATTAATGGGTCAGAGCAGAAAATAAAGCTTTCCCCGAGCAATCTAAAGTGCTTCTTAATGCTGCCTGTGAAAACAAAATTGGTTTCAGTGCAGGGGTACTTGTGCCTTTTGTCTCATTTCAACATGGGCTTCAGATTTCATGCAGAGAACTTTGATAAAGGGATGGAAAAGTTTAGTCACAGGATTTGGACAACATGTGCGAGATTTCAATGAAGTAAAGTATGACTTTGTGTCATTGCAGCTGATCAGCAGAGATGCCAAGATAATTTCAGTGCAAACAGCCTCTATCAGTGGTGCATCAGAGCCCAAAGGGGCTTTTTTTGATGGAAACCACAGCCACTGTGTGCYTGTGATCTGTATAAAAAAGGAGCCAGGCATTAGTGTGAGCACTGCCATAGCCGCAGGCAAAGGGCAGTGAAACATGTATTTACACTAAAAGGACATAATGAAACAAAAAACCATAAATTTGGAAAGTTACCCCTGCAAATTCAGCTACTAAATGAAGCTTTTCAACCAAGGGAAACGAGCCAAGAAGAATTTCTGTGAGTATGAGATTTTGTCCTTTGGAACATTGTCAGGGATTGTATAGCATCAGCAGAGGAACACCTGTTTTTTCTCTTGGCATGCAAAGCTACCGCAGCATAGCAAAGGCATTTGTGTTGGAAATGTTTCTGAGGTTTACCCAGCTTTGTCCCTATTTATATATGAATATAAATATATATATTTTTTGTGTAATAGTGAATAACATTACAGCAGCAATTACTTAGAACTTTTATATATCAGTTTCTCTTTACTGAATGCTCTGCTGTGCACTAAAAGCTGTGGCATTTGTATTTTACAGCTTCATTGGCACAGCATAAAGATGCTGAAAAATCAAAATGTATGTTGTAATTTGAAAAGCAAACAGATCTTGTTCTTTGATGCACCAAATCAGTTTTCCTGATATTTTTCCAATATGAAATATAAGAACAGTTCCACAGTCACTTCCAGATCAGAACTGCTTATCTCTTTGACAGACATGAATAAACTCCAGCACTCGGATTCATTTATTATCAGTCAGGCAATTCCTCCTGCAGGAGTTGTACCATTTTGTGTTTGATTCCATGTCCTGCAGGGTGCATAAAGGTCCTACACGTTAAAGAACTCAGGGCATTGTTGCAATAATAAAGTCTCACAACAGACAAAGAGAAAGGACACTTCACTTGGTAAATATTGGGTGAAAAGAGTTCCATGATCCAAGGTGAGTTATGTGAACACYACAAAGCTGTATGGAGCAGTTCAGACGGAATTTACAATTTCCAGTAGATGACAGGACAATAACAGGACACTGTGCCAGGTGACAGGCTGCTCTCGTGGGGTCAGACAATCCACAACTCACACACTGCTCCAGGGTGGAGCTTTTGTGCTCCTCCTGTCTYATTTTAGGGTTAAGACCATTGTCAGCAGAAGCACACAGCGTCAGACTCATGAAACACAGACTTTCCACTTCAGTGGAAAGATGATGTTCCAAATCAGCACTGCAAAAGATAAAATCAGCATGCTCTGTTCCTCAGTCTATTGGGAAATGAGTTTGACATGAAAAGAAGAGGGAACCACAAAGCCCTGGATGTGTGTGCTTGGAAAATGTGTGTGCTCAACAAGTTTAAACCTCTAACTCAAATTAAATCGTTCCTCAGAACAGCAACATTTCCTCACACAAAAGTCACTTTGTGCARCAACCACCTGGAGAAGAAGTTATTAATTGTCACTTTGAATTTAGGTGGAAGTAGCTGAACTAGGTTACTTAATATAAAATATCCTATAAAACTGAATTTTGCACAAAAGGGTATTTCTAGGTATATTTTGACATTGTACATTGTRTTTGGAAAGGATTAAAAAAGCAGTATCCTCATATTAAACTGGGGAAAGGGACTTGCTGCTCACCAAATTTCTATTCATATTTACTATGTTTTGAGCAACTTCCATTTTAAACAGAAAACCCCTCAAGAAATAGATACAGAAATATTGGAAAAGAAAAAATCCCAATACCAAGCACAAAAGACAATGCTGCATTTCATGACTGTAATYGTTGCATTAAAGCAAGCATCTAGGTTAATAATCTACCAGTTCTCAGGAAAAAGAAACAAAGTATTTCATTCATATGCATCCAATATTCATCTAATATTTCTTGAGTATCTCTCTATAGCAAGAAACCGACACAAATTTCTCCCAACAAAGGCTGTATTTCACTTATATTTCAGTGGATAGAAAATKAATGACTGCAACACCAAAACACASAAAATAGAGGGAATTGGGCAAAACAGTCTAAAACAAGATGATAAACAATAACCACACGCTGGAATTCAAATGCATCATTTCATCTTAAATATGGAATATTGTGTAATTTTCAAAGACTGCTTTCAGGCAGAGGCTGAGATGAGTAAATACTGGTGGAATGGAGAGAAAGTCACACAGAGATGGAGCAGGGAACACAGTTCAGAGAATTCTGAATTAGGCAGGAGGCACTGGGCAYTGGCAATCCTATGGAGCTGCAGGGAATGTGAGCAGGAGTTGCAGTGCAGCAGTTGGGAAAGTTAAGAAGTTTCAATGCCCAGCAGGAAATGTACTGGGTAAGACTCACATATAACGTAAAATTGAATATAGACATCAGGGAAACCAGGAAAATAACATTAAAAGCAAATGGAAACRTTTCACAGCTTCAGAGAGCTGGGAGATAGAACCTTGTCCTGTGTTTCACTGTGTGCTTCAGCTTAAAGGGAACAAATGGAAAAACATGTGCCAGTCAAACCCAAATCTGAAAGAAACTCCAAGTTTAACTAATTAAGACTATTTTGATTTCAGGCAGGTCTGTACAAACTTACAGTGCTATGTAAATTTAACATTTGRCATCGCTTGAAAGCCAAAAGAGAAGCACTAAACATACCCCATGTCACAAGATAATTTTTTAATTTTGTCTTTCCTAGACAAACATTCTTAACTGCCTCATTCCTAATAAAAATTGCACCCTCTTTTATGGATATCATATCTATATTAAGGCAGGTTTTATTATGACTTTTATTGACTTTGAGATACATGCTGGACAAATATCAGTGTTAATCTCAGACACTTAATTTGCTCAGCACTGTTCAGTTTACACTGAGCTCTGCTCTCTGATCCAGGTCACCCTGAGCTTTCAGGGAAAAAAAAAAAGACTCCTAGTTTCATTCTGCTCTGGGTCAGGCTCAGCCTTCTATCTCTTCTCATAATTRGAAGAGCAAAGAGGAAAAATTGTTAACATTTTTATTCTTCCCTAAGAGATATCCACTGGACCGCCTTGCAATTTATTTTAWTTTTTTTTAAGTTGTCATACATTATAAAATATAATTTGGTCAAATGCTTCAGAAATTACTCCTAGATGAAGATCAGATTCACAAAATAAGAATACTTTTAGAACTGATAGCACTGCTGTACGTAGAGTGAATTATAAGTTTTTATGTAAGAAAGCCAGAACTCAGCTCAGCAGATCCAAAACTCACACGTTTTCCATGTTTAGGAGGATGACTCCAAATRCTTGTTGGCTTTGCAAGATGTTCAGAGCAGAAGAGAACGGGATCAGTTCTAAGTAAGTAAAGCTAAGAGTTATGCTCAGCAGGACATGCAGCTGAGCAGGAGAGACAAACCCCTCAAAATTCACAGTGGAGGTTTCCTTTGTAAACCCAAAATTGTGCAAAATAATGCGACACCGTCACACTGCCCCAGCCCTACCTCTTCCTGAGCMAGTTCCTTCTCAGCTCATGGGGTGTGAGCTGCCATTTCCCACTGGGAACTCCTATCTCACACAGGTCTGGCTCAAACTCATCCCTGGATTAAGYCCAGCTTTGGGCCTGTGGAGAATTTGTAAGCTGGATATTTGGGGTCCATCTTTTTAAAGAATTCAGGCTGTTGGCAGAGGGTGAATATTCATGTGCTGTGTGAGAGATGTGGCCAAGGGGCTCCTGCAGATCCTCAGCTGCCACCAGGCTCCATGGGGACCAAACACCTCCAGGAATTTGGGGACATGTCCTGCTGGGGTGGGGAAGAGCCTTCCACCCAAAATGCCTCTGGCTGGTATCAGATCAGGCATGGAATGGATTTACTGACACCTGCCCTCCCCAATGATGGTGAGGAGCACCTGGGGACCCCTGGAATACCATTGGGGTGAGGTCAGGGGGCAGAAATCCACACAGTGCTCGCAAAGATTTCCTGGATGAAATCTGGGACAYGACAGGGAGGGGAGCCACTCACAGTGGAGGGTGTACAAAAAGTGAGCCATAACTCCCACTACAATTTCAATTTTTGAGCCCCTGCTGTAAAGCCTCAGTTATTTTTGGAGAATATTCCTTTTCAGTGTGATAGGTGTTCTTCACCAAATCAGTGCAGCAAGACATTTGCTATCAGCTCAGCAGCTATCAAAGTGGCATTGATACAGACCATAATCACCTATTCCCTTACTGCCCTTCATATTCTCCTGATTTTTAAAGGAAAKGAAAAAGGAAAAAAGGTTTTCCTCTGTGTCAGCTGCCCCAWCTTTCTGCTTCACAGGTTAATGCCAAAGACAAATAATCAGAAATGGAAATAGGATGGTTCTCCTGCTGATGTTCAGCAAGACAGACGGGATTGTCACTCGTTCTATACAAGGGCCAGTGCTGACAGAGGTGAAAAATTATCTGCGTCAGGAACAGCAAATATGACTCAGAATTAGCTTGTAAGGAAAAAAAAAAATCATTCAAAGAACTAAAGATTCTCACACCTCATAACCACATGCTTTATGAATTTTTACAGAGAGAAGGCTGATAGCTCACAAGAAGGGGAAAAAAATATCTTTTACTGGCAAGGGTTATCAGAGARTTATTGACATTGCAATTCAACAGTGGTAACATCTCTCTTACTCTGTATTTCTTTGACCAGGTCAGACTGATCGGGAAAGCCTGACACAATAATCAGCTAATCACAGCATGTACTTTTTCAGARAGAGAGAGAATTATATCGTGTTATAAATAAATGGACTATCACCAATTGAAAAAGCTGCTCATGGCTGTTCTGCAGCAGAAATCTATAAAGCATCGTGCAGCACTCACACCAAAGCCAATTTCAACTTTAATTTAAATTTAAAAAAAAACACTGTGCTACTAAGTAGCTGTTGACAAAATCACAGCTCCCATGAAATCCAAATACTCAATGAGAAGGGATCTTGCTCCAAATCTGGCTGACGCAGGACGGAAAGCACCCACTGGAATACGTCCCCTGTCCTTTCTTCCACTAATATAAGCACAAGCATTTTTTCCAAGTTACCAGCATTGGTGTCCAAAAACTGCAAGGCTTRAAAATCAGTTGGTGTAAATGGAGCTCAGTGCACTTAAATGGAGCTTGTGCCCTTAAACATTTGTTTTTCCTTAAATTGTTTAGTCTCTCACCTCGCTACTTCCACGCTCTTTCCCAGAACCAGGCAGGAGACTCCCACAAGCTTATGAACTTCTTGCTTAAGAATAGCAAACATGAAAGTAAAATCTGATTTTAGCCACCTCCAAGGGCKGCGTGGATTCGTAATAATGTGTCACAGTGTGTTGTAAACAGCTGGTGAGAAATGGAAGCCCCTTGCAGCTAAGATTGCATTAACCTTTCATTATTTACCTCATGCTTAAGGCTTATAGTCAGCTCCTACTGGTAAATCAGCTTAGATGTTCAAGGTTTTTCAATATCACAACAAGATCTTGTGCCCTTGAAGACTTTTTTTTACTAAATACAAACATCAATATTCCCTAAAGTCTGTGGTGACTCCTGTCCCCAAAGAAATGTGTAGAAATGTGCTTCTCCCAAACACAATTTAGATAAGTGATGCCATTTCCAGAGGAATTACATGGAGCACCCTGAGAGTATTTGTTACAGCAAGAATAATATCTGCCATAGCATAGCAAGCACAAGGTCTAGGAGACACAGAAAAGCTTTTTAAAATGTAAGTTTCACACAGCTCATATTTAAATTAGGGGACAGATTTTCAACAATGTAATTAATTTTTTCATACTTTGAACCACAGCTAATCCTGCAATAATGGCCTTCTTTTTTTCTRAAGGGTGTCCTTGGAGGAAGTGCTGCAATGGTCCCAGTCTTTTGAAAGTGTGTTAAGGAGCAAATGTGAGTAACTGTGTGCCTGYATCCCAGATGGATGGCTGAGAAAAGCTCCCACAAAGCAAAATCAATAACTCCTGCTGGATAATATGTGCTGCCTTATAGAGAATTAATGAGAAACAGCTCTGTGTGACGTGCCTAGCATGATCACACTGAAAATAGCCTAGCACGCTGCAAGTGCTTTCCCAAAACTGCCATTTCTACAATCACACAATTCCTTTAAGGACATGTGAGGGGGGTGTGTTTATCTGCCACATCCCCGCTGAGAGCACTGAACAACAACTTAGATTAACAGAAAAATGGCAAAAAACCTGGCTTGGGAAATCCTGTGTGCAGCAAGGACACCATATAGTGGCATATCTATGTAGGGTGATGCCATGGAAAGCAATTCCAATATTCAGGTATGGGAAGAAATGTCAATGCTGTAGCAATTCTGAATTTTCCCTCTCCAGCCTTCCTCTGCCTCATGCAGAGCTCAGAGTTCTCCCAAATTTCTCAAATGGGCAGCAGTCCGAAACAACACTGCTGAATTGCTTTTTTAAAATGGTGATGGAAAAATTACATCGCAGCACAAACCTCTAAAAGTTATTCCCCATGACTGGGATTATTTTCGAACAGCAGAAAAATTACAAAGAGCATRAAGATTAACAAACATTTGTAACTCAAAAGATGTTGCCATTGAAATCTTAATCAGGAAACAATGTAAGATGTTAAATTTTCCAGGGGAAACACAGGGAGAGACTCCACAGCAGAAAAGAGTTCAAAGAGACAAAACCATAAAATTATTGCAGAAGCAGCAGGCACACATGTGATCACCCCTTCTGCCAGATGACAGGCAGTGCTCAACATCTTCAGAAATATGAAAGCCCAGAATGCTGCACCAGCAGGAAAGTTTCCTTTAAATAAAACATTTGTATCTCCCAGCAGTGCTGAGGATGCTGCCCTTCTTAAAATGCCTCCTTCACTGCACATAAAAACACCACATGTTGAATTTTGATTGAAAAGCTTCATGACATCAGGAAATGGAAAAGTGTACTCACATAAAAAAACAGAGACTCTAAACTCCGTGGATTTGCAGCTCTTTATGAAAGGTGGGCAAAGTGTTTGCCTGCTTTAGATTTACTCTGGGATTAGACTGACTAGAAAATTCTGCATGTGCAGGAAAATGCAAGGTTGAAGGGTAGGGGGAGGACACTGCAATAAATTCCCAATTTTGACATAATCTAATAATATTTATAGGGGTACAATCAAGATTTACACTGCTTTATAAATGTCCCCATTGCCTCCAAAGGACTCTAAAGGTAATGCATATAGACAGGTAACATAAATTCTGAAATATTTTTAGATGGGCCTATGATCTACAAGACCTACTTGAAGACAGAACACAGTGATGAAAACATAGAATTCTGGCTTGCTTGTGAAGCTTATAAGAAGATAACATCAAAGAGGAAAAGGATTTCCACAGCCAGGAAGCTTTTTATGAGCTACATTCAGCCCCAGGCTCCCAACGAGGTGACTACAATATCATGAGCTCTTTATTTTACAAAAACACCTGAACTGTCATGCAGCAGACCCACRACAAATACATAAATAAATTAAAAAATTAAATCTAGTTCTTTCCAAGAGTAAATGTAAATGAACAAACTAACAAACCCACCCAATGCTGTCCCCTTTRTAAAATGGGCAAAAAAAGATTCAGAGAGAGGTTAACTTTTTTTGTTGTCAAGCAAAACAACAAATTTGTATGTAAAATGTCTGATTTTTTTTTTTCCCTGACAAGAAGCTATAGAAAAAAGACATTCCTGCTCAGCCAGACATGCTGTGTGACCTTTAAACATTCCTGCTTATTGCTCCCTTTGCAAAAGCCAACACTGGCTCTTGTTGCCACTGCCCCTGGCAGGCTGACACAACTAAAGAACCATGAGAGATGATTTTCTGGTTTATGTGTAACAATAAAATTATTATAGGRTCTCAAAATGCAGCCTCCCTGCTGGCACTGGAGGAGAAGCCAAACCCAAATCAGCTGGATTCCCAACTGTTGGCTGAGAGCAGTTGCTGCTTTAAATGACCTAACCACTCCTTCTAATCCAAAACTTGAGCAAATTTTAAAGTTCCCTCTCTTGGTTTMAAATGCCAATTGGCAAGACAGTGCATTCTTGTCCCTTTTTTCCAGTTTTTMTTTTTAGCATGTGCAGCTATAGGAAACTCAGCAAGATATTTGCACTTCCAAAAGAGAAATGTCAGTATTGCCAACCACAAATTCATTAATCAAATGTAAAGGCTTAAATCAGGACAGTTATAAATAAACTGTGTGATTTTTGTGTAAAATAGTGTGTGTTTGTATCTTGCTATTGGCTGTGTGGTTTCTAGAGCTTCAGGACACACCAATTCCACATTTTCTTGATGTGCACTATTAACATAAGAAGTAAGTACCACTCCAAAAAAAAACCTTAGTGATTTTTTTAGGTACCACTCTAAAAAACATGATCATGAGGATATGAAACACAGTCATATTGAAATGGAAGTTAAATTGAAATTACAGCAGCATTTTAAAAGGGGCCACTCAAATGATTCCTCTGGAAAAGGAAGATCCCAACYTATGAAAGACCTTCACAGTTCACAACAGTCAGGATTAAACTGGCTTTTCCCTTTGTGTTTCAGATAAACATTGACAGTCCTGCTAGGAAAGCAATTTTAAGGAATATTCAAGAGCCAACACAGTTCTGTTTTGATGAAGCACAGAGAATAATCTACGGGCACATGGAGAGAGATTCCTACCCACGATTTCTGGAATCCCAGTTCTACCAAAAGCTCAAACACAGTCTTCAGACTAACAGCAACAATTCAATGGTAAATTAAAGAGAAYGGTTGAAAATGAAAAATGGTTTCAGTGTTCTTGCTTTGAGAGGTTTGAAATATTTTTTTTTTTAAAAAGTACTTTTTGCTGCTGGGAAATAAATGTTTACTTGACTATATCTCACAGGAGAAAAACATATCTGCATTGCTGCATTTGTTGTTGTTTTAGTCTTAAGGTAAAAAGATGGATTTGAAATACATCTGGAATCTCTTGATACTTTGAACAGACTTCAGGGCAGTCTGAAAGCCATAGAAAATCAGGGGCTTTTCTGGCATCTTCTCCAGCTGCATTTGTCCAAGGACTAAAAGGAGTTGTCCCCTCTTGCTAGTGAATATATTTTATGGTAAWGTTTCAATCCATTAATCTCTTAGCAGCACTATTGTGGTGCACAGCTCAGATGACTCTTGGAGAGAGAGATCAGTGATTTATTGAYGACAGATGAGCATGTGATTAACAAATATCAAGTGCATAAGATGATGTCTGGCTTTGGATGTAGTTATATTGGTAAATTGTGACCCTATGTGCGACATGGGAATGACACCATGTGATCTAAGTGATCAGGTTCTAACTTCCCAGTTACCTAAGGCCCCAAAAATTCTGTTCATCCATCATTTTCAATTAAATTCTCAAGCTAGGATTCATGTGTATGTCCACAGCAGAACACAAAGAAAGGCTGAGCACAACCTCTACCAGCACAGAAAGCTTTGAGACAACTTCAGAGTTTTAAGAGAAGGGAGTCCTGCTACAGGAGATAATCCTTTCCTTTGGCACTGAGCTCATATAAAGGGATTATCACACAAATATGTGATTATTAGCTCATAAAACCACTCAGCAAGCAAAGACTCCACAGGAAACCCAGTTTGGGGTAGCACAGCTTTTGCTRTTATTAACTTCTGCTGGGTGTACAGAGCATGGGACTTGAGTTTGATTAGGCCTGCAAGATGCCACAGCAAAGGAAAAAAAATCATAGGAACTCTTAGAAACAGCAATTTCTGGATGGAAGCAGATCCTAGATAGAACCTTCCTCCACACAGTAAGGAGATTATCCACAAAGAGGAAAAAACATCCACAGAACACTTAGGCACATCACAGAGGGACTCATAAATACATTTTTATGGCATGAAATGTTCAGTGGGTATTTTAATAACAGATCACAAGTTTACCAACCCTTATTGTGGGCTTATTAATTTTAGATTTATGCTAGAAATAAAAAAAAATCTTAGGATTGGGAGAGGGGAGGAGTTTGGTCTCCTGTCCCCCATGTCCACAAATCACATCCTTTTGAAAAAAAAGAGGGTTCTTTTCACCCAAATAGATTTGTGGTTACCTGTGATAGATCTTGCTCTTGCTGGATTTTTCTTGTGCTACCAGCTGCAGGGCAATAACAGTATTTCACCAGATCATATGATTCATAAAACAGTAACTAATGGCAGCAGCAATAACAAATCACTGCTTTTATCATTTTCATTAACAGCACTTGAACGAGCTCAGGTATACTTTTCCACTGGCAGACAAACCTAAAAGGCATTTGGTCTCATTAATCATTCAAAGCTACTGTTAAAAGGAGATAAAAAACTTGAAAATAGCTAAATTGGCAGAATTCTCCTTCTTCCCTCATTTATTTATTAAGATTTAAAAAAAAAAAAAATCAAAGTGGTCATTCTTCAAACTTTAAGCTTGGCAAGATTAAAATGGAGATTAATAAAACCACCACAGCAATTAACTGTATTCAAGCCTGGAAACTGTTGACCTACGGAGGCTCCCTAAAAAAACTACCCAACAAAAAAACAACCCATACTGGACAGATGGTCAAGCAGTTTTTTGGGTTTTGTTTTTAAAAGAGCTGACAATTAGATCTCTTTTCCTTTGTAAATATGAGCTGTGTTGGCCTACTTTCTTAATAACAGCTGGGAAATTTATACTCCATCCTTATACTGCTACTTCCATGAGTTTTACATCAATTCTTCGTGTAGGGATGAAGATGCAGAATAAAAAAAAAAAAGAAACAGATTGCATATCAGGTCTATAAAAAAAAGTAAGAATCTGCTCATAATTAAAGCCACTCAAAATAAAATTTAAGAATGGCATAGCTTAATTTTATTGGTGCAGATGGGAAGTAACTGAGAACATACAACATCTCTCCACTGTGTATTCCAAAGATTTTAGGGAATAAGTTGTTAGGAAGCTTTTCTCCCAAGTTCTCCCCATTATTTTTGTACTTCCACACTAACTCTGGATGTTCCTTCTTGCAAGTCCCAAGAAATAAATGTCAGCAGCCTCRCTCTAAGTGTAGCAATGAGTTATTATGCAGAACTTGGTAGAGCAGACAAATGACCCAAACAAATGGTGAGCAGAGATGTTTATCACCAATTTCGGGGCCGATGAGGATGTTTGGGAACTCACAGGAAGGGGAAATGACTGCAGCACTTCCAAGTGTTACCAAATGTACTGCACTGTTGCAATCACAGGGCTCTTCAGAAACTGATGTTTGGCCCAATGTTCACTAAACAGAGGGCAATGGGAGAAATCCTCCAAAAAAGAACATTTTGATGCACATGCTGGTTAGCTGGAACCCACAGCTACTGCTCAGAGCTGATTTTGAGCAAAAACTGCCCCCTAACACAGATTTACCCCCAGTCTCCTACAGTGAAATTTTACAAAGCTGATAATCTCGGTAGAATTACCCATATAATAATATGTCAGTAATTTTAAGAAACTTTGCCATTAAAATCTTAAAAATTTAAAAAAAATTAAGAAAACTTTAAAAAATTCAGACTTAAAATACCAGATCAAACTCYGAATGGAATACACAAAAGATTCTAACTTTTTTGTAATTATAAAGAAAAGAAGGAAAAGGTAAAGCATTGTAGAAAGAAAGACAAAAAGATGCAAGAGGAGCAAATTATGTATTGAGGAAGCAAATCACTATGTATTGAGGTAGCCAAGCCCTCCTTGAGATATTACACATCGTATGTACACAGATTCTGAGAACTGTGAATTCTCACCACACCAGAAATGAGATCTCTGCCAAATTGTGCAATGGGTTCTTCAGAAAGGAATGTGAATTAYTGAGAGCACGATCGTGTCACATTCTGGATCCCAGACTGTGTCTTTCTCCAGGCTTTGATGCCTGCACGTCCTTACGAAAGCTGTGACATGGGAGGGGACGTCTTGCAGGGTTCTGCAGCTGGCCAGCATTCTGGACACACACACTGTGCCTCGAGTGGGATAAACAAACACTTCATGGCACGCAGTGTCCCTGGGGATGTGWAGGGCATCTCCTGGGACCAGCACATCTGGCACATCTGTCCCTTCCCTGATGGTGAGTGGAGGCCATAAGGGATCCTAGAGCACCTCACAGGACCAGGCACTCGCACAACTGGATCAATTCTGCTTTCTAAATTAATCCATCAAAGATTTCCCATCTGCCAGCCCTTACCCACTGCTGGCATCTTAAACCATTTACTGAAAGGCTCTTTTATCTATACCTTTATTTTTCTCTCCAAAACCACCATGGCCATCACCTCAAGGGTCCTGTTCTTCAGATTTTGTCCAACTCAAATTATGGTGCACCTATCCAGGGATGAAGAGCAGCTCCTCACTGTGAGGACATGCACCTCACAAAACTGGGAAACGGGGCAGGTCCACCCTGAGAAGTTAACACAAACAGGGTTTTAACCACAGCAAAGCTTCACTGGTGAGCTACTGCCCTCCTTCCTTAACCACAGCTCCCCAGTGCTATGCCCTCTGTCTGGATTTCAGCACAGATCTGAGGATAAGGGGAAAATCCTGAGGCTTTACAGGATAACCCCAGGAAACAGAGCTACAGTTCCTCCTCCACAAACCCATCCTGCTGCGAGTCACTGACACAGGACCCCACAGATCCACTGCCTGTACTGCTCAGGGACAAACAGCTCAGAAGCCAGACCCTAAAACTCATATCCCAGACTTTATCAGAGCATTCCCTTCCTGCCCAGCCCACCAGGCTGCTGCCAGCCCTGAGCCACAGCACCAAACCCCGGCCAGGAGACGGCATTTGACAGCACCAAAAACAACAACACCCAGAAATGCCAAACTGCAGCTGCACTTGCCAAGTCCTGGAGAAACGTGGCGTTGGTCTCGTGACAGAATTCATTTGCTGCCCTGTGCCCTGCCCTGGCACACCTGTCCCCAAAGTCAAAACGTGCCCAGAACATCCATCACCAGGCTGTCACTCACACAGCACCAGCCAGGACAAACAGTTTATTCTCCCACACTCCTCACGTGCAAGTGTTGGTTCCTGTAATCACCTCAGAAACAAACAGGTGAGTAAATAAGAACAAGATCTTCCCCCCCAAAAATGGTTACACACAATTATTTCACGCAGTTATTTCCTCCCTGCTTTGCCTTTGGGGAGAGGAAAAGAGGACAGGATTGTAACTTTACCTGCAGGAATTCACAAGGAAAGAGTTCCCAAAATTTGTAAAAGCAGCTTTCAGGTATTTGCAGTTCAATAGATTTATCATTCACAACACATGACCCAGTCAGTTATTAATGAGTCTTTCAGCACCACATCAGGTTACATTAATTCTCAACAGCAGTTCCCACCAATGTTTTCTATTAATTACCCTACCAATGAATATATATTTAGTTTTTAACATAATTTAAAAAAATCTGCATTTAACCACGAAAAATTCTAAAGTAACAAATACCCAGCCTGTGAACCATTGCCCATTTTTCTTCACTCATAATTGTGTCTGCTGCTGAAATAATCATTTTATAAWGAAAGAGGATTTTATAACTAATATATGTAATCTCATTTCAGTTCAGACACCAGCGCAGAAATTGCTTGTTCTTTCCTCATTACCTTCTTCACTCTCTCACTGCTTTTCATTTTAGCTGCATCTTTGCAAGGTTTTCTGCTGGTGGGCATCCTGAACATATTTTTCTCTGTTCCTAGAAGATATTTTCTTTATGTATTTATCTCAGTAGCTCTACAAATTCCTTCCCTTTCTATCTGTCT